TATTCATGTTGTCTGACTTGTAATGCTTTTATAACTATATGTATGTACCTTTGACTTGTATGCTAATACTTGTGGTGTTATATGTATGTGCTCGTGACTTGTATGGTACTTGTGGTGTTCTATGTTTTCACATGTCTTTCTTTTCTTGTTATTGCTTTGAGTACACAAAGTCACGGACCAACCCAAGACAGAAAGAGCAACCTCAACGTAGTATATATACAATGCATTCTCCTCTTGATAACATATTCTCTCTTTCATTCATTCTCTTAAAAAAAATTCATAACTTATTCTATCTTTCATTAATTTTCTTTTATAAATTTTCAATGGATTCTTCTTCACATTATCATTACCGAAAAAATGATGATGATGATTTTGATGATATATTTGAAGATGTATTTGAAAACACTGGTTTTATTCCTGAACCGAAGAAGAGAAAACCACGTATACATATCGAGAGAAACCGGGAAGAAGGCCACACGAAGCTTTGGAATGATTATTTTTGTGAAACTCCAACATACCCGCACAACTTATTCAGAAGACGGTTTCGAATGAACAAGAGCTTGTTCTTGCGTATTGTGAATCTTATGTCTACAGAAATAGAATACTTTCAACCAAGAGTAGATGCAACCGGACGGGGTAGTCTTTCTCCGCTCCAAAAATGTACCACAGCAATTAGACAATTGGCGTACGGTGGTGGGTCTGACATCGTTGACGAATATGTCCGCCTTGCTGAAGGGACAGCTCGAAAATGTTTACACCATTTCACCGCCGGAATCATCCAATTATTTGGCGACGAATACTTAAGACGTCCCAGACCAGACGATCTGGAAAGACTATTACATATTGGAGAACAACGTGGGTTTCCGGGGATGGTTGGAAGCATCGACTGTATGCATTGGGAATGGAAGAATTGTCCGACCGCTTGGAAAGGAATGTATTCCCGAGGAACTGATAAACCAACAATTGTCTTGGAGGCCGTAGCTTCATATGACCTCTGGATATGGCACGCTTTTTTTGGAGCTCCAGGTACGTTGAACGATCTTAACATTCTTGATCGATCACCCGTTTTTGACGACATTATTAACGGAGTTGCGCCAGAGGTAAATTTTTATGTTAATGGTAATCCATACCATTTGGCATATTATCTCACGGATGGTATTTATCCGAAATGGGCGACTTTTATTCAATCTATCCGACTACCACAAGGTCAGAAGAATTCATTATTTGCTCAAACCCAAGAAGCTGTGCGGAAAGATGTCGAGCGTGCATTTGGAGTCCTCCAAGCTAGATTTTCCGTAGTCCGAAGCCCATCTCATTTATGGGATAAAGAGAAGATAGCAAATATTATGAGAGCATGTATTATACTCCATAATATGATTGTCGAAGATGAACGATCATCATACACTCAGTATGACGTTCATGAATTTCAAGAAAGAGAAGAGGTGGATACATTTTCCGTCAATATGCCTTCAAATCTCGGTAATACAATGGATCGTCGAACAAGCGTTCAGAATAGACAAGTCCATCACAATTTAAAAAATGATTTGATCGAGAATATATGGACTAAATTTGGACATCTTCAAAATATGTCCTAATTTATAATTTTTTATGAACTGAATAAAATGTCTGTTTCCTTTTATTAATTATTATGTTTGAATTTTTTTAAAAGTTTTTTTGTAATTTTCTTATTTCTATTTTAATGTTAAATATTTATTTTTATATGTTTTAAATAAATTCTCTATTCTATATATGTCATTACAAAGCAATTAAAATAAATAAATTTTATTAATTAAGGGACAAAGGTTAAGTCCCACCAATAATCAAGTCATTTAGTAAAGTCTCTTAACTTCATCCCTAAACATAAAAATAATACTAAAAAATGATAAGGGCCTTTATCCCCATCCCACCTATAATGTTGCTCTAAGACCCTTAGGGCATCTCCAACCCAAGTCCATTTTTTACTTCAAAATGGAGTTAAAGTGATTATGGAGTAAAAAAATGCTTCAACCCCACTTCATTTCTTACTCTATAATGAGATTTACTCCATAAATGGAGTAATCTATTTTTTTTTGTTCACTACTCCATTATGGAGTTACAAATAGAGTGAGATTGGAGCATTTTTACTCCATTTTGGAGGAAAAAATAGAGTTTTACATTGGAGATGCTCTTAATTCTCTTGTTTCGAGTGACTTTGGCTTCCTAAGGCTTAGTTAGTGATTGTTTTAGCTATATCTATGAAAGTTTGGACAGTGAAACAAACAGTTCTTATTCATTAAGTAGTTTGGATTTCATTTTTATTCAATGATTTGGGTAGGTTTGATTCAGTTTGGTTGTAGACTGAATAATATGACGATCATATTGTTTTAGAAGCAAGCCATGTTGTTGTTTGCAAATATCACAAACTTAATGACACATAGATTCCACTTGATGGGATAAACAAGTAAACAACTGTCAATCATTCGGAATAAATTAATAAAGAATCACTATCTTATGCACTTTATTCACTACAAGAAAAGGAAGTGGTATCCGAGGGCCATATAAAACGGAAGTTTGTCGGGAATATGCGTTACCGATGGTTTCCCGAGGATTAAAATTTCGTCGGCGTTTGGGTCTCGGAAATACTCATTTCTCGGAAATTTCTCGATAAGTTCCGATAGCAATTGTTGTGGGAAATATTTAACGGAAAACCATCCGAACATACCGATAAATGTATGAAGTTTCAATTCCGATTATTTTCCGACAACTGAATATATTTGCATAAAAAAATAAATTTTAATAAAACAAAAATTAATAATAATCATCAAATATTCCACAGAATAATAATTAGCATACAAATTCTATAAAAAATAAATTAAAACTAAAAATAATAACTGAAATTAAAACAAATAATTTTCATCAAATATCCCACTGAATAATAATTAGCCACAAAAATTCTATAAAAAAGAAACTAAAAGTAAAAATAATAACTGATCTATTATCATTGGTGTGGTGGAGTGCGTCAATGGAAGTAGTTGTAGGAGTGGGAGCGGCGGTGGCGTAAATAGAGCTGCGGCGGTGGTGGCGTAAAAGGAGCTGCTGCAGTGATGTCGTAAAAGGAGCTGCGGCGGTGGTGGCGTGAAAGAGCTGCAGCGGTGGCGTGAAAGAGCTGCGGCGGAGGCGTGTAAGGAGCTGCGGCGGTAACGGTGAAAGGAGGTGCGACTGTGATGGTGCAAGGAGGTGCAGTGGTGGTGGTGGAGCAAAAGTTTCACGGTGGTCTTCTTTGTACTGCAAAAATAGATCTGAACAAACAAAGTTAAAAGGGAGAAAAAATAGAGAAAAAACTTGAGAAAATGAAAGAGAAGTAAGGAAAAAAATGATGCTGGNTGGAGCAAAAGTTTCACGGTGGTCTTCTTTGTACTGCAAAAATAGATCTGAACAAACAAAGTTAAAAGGGAGAAAAAATAGAGAAAAAACTTGAGAAAATGAAAGAGAAGTAAGGAAAAAAATGATGCTGGTAAGTGGTAAATATTCTTAACCACTCGTTTGTAGATAAGATTTATAAATTAGAATCATATAAAAAAAAGTGTTTTATGGCAAAACACAACTGTTACGCAAAGTCTTTTCTCCACTATACGTTTCGACTTGATCAAATAAAAATACTTAAAATATGAAAATCAATTGTATCAATAAATATCAACAACTGCTTTATGACCGACACACCAATACCGGGATAATTTTGATTACGTTTCCGACGATGCACAGACAGTCAATGTTATCGGAATTTTTTGACAAAGTACTGACAAATTTGTTAGAACACTCCGACAAAATAAATTTCTCGGAAATGGTTTTGTGTTCTGACAAAGTTCCGATAATCCATTCCGTTAACGTTCCGACAAATATTGTTCATCGGGATTTTTTGACAAAATATCGACAAATTTGTTAGAATGCTCCGACAAAATAAATTTATCGGCAATGAATTGGTGTTTTGACAAGTTTCCGAGAATCCATTCTGTTAACGTTCCGACAAATATAGTTCGTCGGAATATTTTGAGAAGTTTCCGACAAAGTCCATTGTTTCTCGGTAGTTCCTCGGAACGGCAAAGCAAATTCACCGATGACTCATGTTCTCGGAAACAATCCTCGGAGTTGACACTCTTTTCTTGTAGTGATTGATCAACACTTTTTGATCTTTTGTATTGATAACAATTTGATTCCTCATAATAAAGTATCAGCTTACATCATGTGCTGTTACTGATGTTATGTGTATGTCTTTATTAATCAAAACCTTAGTCAGCATTACACTGCCAAGGGGACATGCAGATGCAGTTTTGTTAGTATTATTATATATCCACGCAAGTTGGTCAGAATATCTATTTATTGAACTTTCAGTTGAAAACAATTATCAAATTGTCTTGATGTCTCCGTGTCCTTCACTCCTATTGGTGCAGAATTTTCATCCTGATCCATATTCAACTAACTCCGTATGTTATGGTATACATATAAAATGCATACTGAATAAAATCATAACATATTTTTTTCACGGATTATACACATCGACATGTTACACAACAAATCATTTGTCGACTTCGGGAAACATTAGTTATAGGAAAAGCTCCGTACTTATAGATTTAGAGGATTAGTTTAGCTAATTATCTGATGAATGTCCTGGTTTTAGTTATTATATATTTGGAATGAAATTACGCGATTGATTTGTATATATATTCCTCTTTTCAATAAGTACGTACAAGTTACAACCTTTGCAGCATGCTTCGAGAATTCTTTTACTGAAAACATATATATACACAAGTCAATATATGCGTTCTTAGCTTCTTGAAAAATTGCATTGTTGGCAGCATGTATGTAATAATGTAAAGAAATTCCCCCAAATAATATATTGACTCTTCAGATAAACCAAAGAACAACATATATAGCGAACCAAATGCCAAGTGAAATATTATAAATCAAATATTAAATTTATCACAATCCATACGAATAATTGTATGGCTCGACGTGAATGTGTATAAATATAACTCGGCTTTTGCAAGTAAGACCTCACAAGTCACAGAGACAAAAGTTCTGGAGACGCGGCAAACATAGAGTGAAGAAACATACACCTCAAAAGCGTAAGACACAAGCCAAAACAAGAAGAAAAATACATTTTCAGATTTCTCCTACAAATCAAACAGAATATGGTGTCTCAAAAGCTAGAGATCTGCATCGAATTAGTGAAGATTGGCGTCGTTTTCGTAACCACCGTGGCTGAATCAGTAGAAAAAGCTTTCCGTAAACCTCCACCGGCGCTTCCTGCAGTTCATGATGGTCACCGAAATATTTACGCTGATGTTCCCATTCCTCTTGTTGGATTCATGTGATGAGTTTTTTTTTCTTGAGTTTTGGCCTCGTTTAAGTTAGTAGCTCTCGTGCCATGTGGCGTTTTGGAAGTTGCTGATTTGTGTATAAATGAATTGTGAAGAAGAGTTACAGATGAATCAAATCATTAATGGTTATAAAACTTTTTGAGTATTGAATTGCTTTAATGATCTTTAAGATCATTCCAAGCTACTAAGCACACCTTAAAAATTGCGGTTACAAAACTGGCTATATTCGTTATCTATTATTTTTTTTAAAAAATCAAGGATTTATCCAAGAGTTTAGAGTTTACATAAGAGTTTTAAGGTTTAAGATTTATGGTTTAGTGTTTTGATAATAGTATTAAAAATAAAATCTTTTTTTCTAACTACTATTATTTTTTATTTATTTTATCTTTAAATTTTAAAAACATAATCACTACAAGAAAACTAGGCCTTTACTAAGAAACTTTATTAGGGAAATAATTTCTCGTAAAAATACTACGAGTTTACTTCGAGTTTACGAGAAAACCATTTTTCCTCGTAAAGTTCTCGTATACTTACGAGAAAACAGTTTCCTCGTAAACTCGTAGTAGACTTACGTGGCCCTTACGAGGAAAAAGTCTTTTTCCTTGTAAACTCATAGTAATTCATTTCTTCGTAAAGTCCTAGTAATTACTTACTACGAAATTAGGAGGAATGGATTTGTTACTACGAAATTAAGAGGAACTGGATAGAAAATCTCGAATTTAAATCAAAAACGTGTTTTGTACCTATTTTTCCTAGCAATTTCTTAGTAAATTCTCAGATTCGAAAATTTCTATAAATACCGCCATATGTGATTCATTTGAAACACACCAAAAAAAATCAGCTATAAGCTTGATCAAACACACAAAAAAATGTCCGGTCCGGGAAATATTTTCGAGTTGCGGAAGTGGATGTATTCACACAGAGATAATAACGGGAGGGTGACGAAAGAATTTCTCGAAGGATTGGAGACGTTTATGCATCAAGCAGATTCTACACCACTCACACAGGAAAGTGGTAAGATGTTTTGTCCTTGTCGGAAATGTTGCAATACCAAATTAGGCTCTCGTGAAAATGTTTGGAAGCATTTAATAAATAGAGGTTTCATGCCATATTATTATATTTGGTATCAACATGGAGAAGATGCCAGTTGTAGGAATGAAGGTAGCAGTAGTAATATCAATTTTCAGATTGAACCGGTTGAGCATTTGCGTAATGAAGGTAGCAGTAGTAATAGCTATCATCACCAAGAGGAACAAATGATAGATTGTGATAGGGTTCATGATATGGTAGGTGATGCCTTTGTTACTCATGATGATGATGAAGTTGAAGAACTTAACTTAGATGCAAATTTTTTTTATGAAATGTTAGATGCTGCGAATGAACCAATTTACAGTGGTTGTAGAGAAGGTCTGTCTAAATTGTCGTTGGCTGCTAGAATGATGAGTATTAAAACCGATCACAATCTACCTGAAAATTGTATGGATGCATGGGCATACTTGTTTAAAGAGTATTTGCCAGAAGACAATGTGTCTGTTGAATCTTATTATCAGATTCAGATATTGGTATATAGTCTTGGGTTTCCCTCGGAGATGATAAATGTTTGCATCGACAACTGCATGATTTACTGGGGAGATGATGAGAAGTTAGAAGAATGTCGATTTTATAAGAAGCCACGATTCAAACCGCAAGGTCGAGGGCGTAATAGGGTACCGTACCAAAGGATGTGGTACCTACCAATCACAGACAGATTGAAAAGATTGTACCAATCTGAGGAGACTGTTGGAGGGATGAGATGGCACGCCGAGCATACTCAGACGGATGGAGAGATGACTCATCCATCAGATGCAAGAGCCTGGAAACATTTTAACAATGTACATCCACATTTCGCTAGCAATGTGCCGGAATGTGTATCTTGGATTATGCACTGATGGATTTAGTCCATTTGGAATGTCTGGGACAATATTCATTGTAGCCGGTCTTTCTTACACCGTATAACTTGCCACTGGAGATGTGCATGCGACGAGAGTTTCTATTCATGAGCATATTAATACCTGGTCCAAAACATCCAAAAAGATCTCTCGACGTTTTTCTACAACCACTGATAAAAGAGTTGAAAGATTTGTGGTCAACAGGGGTGAGGACATATGATTGTTCAACGAAAACAAACTTTACGATGCGAGCGATGCTTTTGTGGACCATAAGTGACTTTCCTACATATGGTATGTTGTCTGGGTGGACTACACATGGGAGATTAGCTTGTCCATATTGTAATGGAATGACAGATGCGTTTCAGTTGAAGCATGGTAGGAAGACTAGTTGGTTCGATTGTCACCGTCGATTTCTTCCCATTCACCACCCATACCGAAGAAACAAGAAATTGTTCAGGCACAAAATGGTTGTCAGAGACACTCCTCCTCCATATTTAACTGGAGAACAAATCGAAGCGCAAATCGATTACTACTGTGCTCTAGAAACAGCTCCTCGTGGTGGGAATTGGCATGTTCCCAGTAATATGTCTGATTCTTATGGTGTTCAGCACAATTGGCACAAAAAATGTATATTTTGGGAATTGCTATATTGGAAAGATCTTCTTTTGCGCACAACTTCGATGTGATGCATATAGAGAATAACTTTTTTGAGAACATCATGAAAACTATATTGAATGTCCCAAGGAAGACGAAAGACAACGTAAAATCAAGGTTGGACTTACCCGATATCCGCTCAAGGAGTGAGCTACATATAAAAAACAATGGGCAAGTTCCAGTTCAAATATTCAGACTGTCATCAGAAAAAAAATCTGCATTGTTCAACTGGGTGGCTTCAGAAGTGAAGTTCCCTGATGGGTATGTTTCAAATCTCTCAAGATGTGTTGAGAAATGGCAAAAGATCTCTGGGATGAAGAGCCATGATTGTCATGTATTAATGCAGCGACTACTTCCCTTTGCGTTTGCGGAGCTACTACCGGCAAAAGTACATGAAGCACTTTCAGGTAATTAATTAATATAATACGATGACATGATTAATTTATTTCTATATATATACATATATATACTAATGTGGATAATTTTTGTTTTCGTATATATATAAGGAATTGAAGCATTTTTTAAGGATCTGAACACCCCGCACTCTTAAAGTGGAAGTTGTCCAACAACTTCATGAAAATATCCCCGTCTTAATCTACAACTTGGAGAAAATATTCCCGCCTACTTTTTTCGACGTCATGGAACACCTAGTTGTCCACCTCCCGTATGAGGCATTACTTCGTGGACTCGTACATTATGGATGGATGTATCAGTATGAAAGGGCCATGAAAATTTTGAAAGAAAAAGCCAAAAACCTAGCAAGAGTTGAAGGTTCTATTGTTGCGGGAAGTTTGACGGAAGAACCATCACATTTCACTTCGTACTACTTTGCACAGAAATTACGTACAAGAAAACGAGCTCCAAGAAGATATGATGATGGTGGTGTCGTGCCGACATATATGGGAAACGATGTTCCAGACATATTTTATCAAATTGGGCGATTGGGTGGGAAATTGAAAGAGGTTTGGTGGTCGAGTGATGAAGACGTTCATAGTAAACACCTTTATATTCTTCTTAATTGCGAGCATCCATTGATTGCTTATTTTGAAAGGTAAATATATAAACATACACACTTATATATATATATATATATTTTCAGTATTAAATATATAACATAACATATATGATTTTACAGTCAATTTGAGACTCAAGTCGAGGAAGAAATACCTGGTATATCGACAACTGAGTTAGACAAAAAGAAAGATCAACACTTTATCAAGTGGTTGAGGAAACATGTATTTATTTATTACTTAAACTGTATGCATACATTACCACAAAGTAAGTCTCATGTCTAATTATTTTACTTTTTGTTGCAGATTGATTATGACGATCCTGAGTATCCCGCATGGTTTTGCGAATTACTTCAAGGTCCAGTTGTAAAGGTCACTACATCGTCGATGTATTTCACCCGAGACTATACTTTTCATACCTATGACTATGGTAGACACCGGGCGACAAGTAATTATGGAATATGTGTGAAAGGCGAAACAGATTTCTACGGAATCTTGCAGAAGATTTATGAAGTTCAATTCCCGGGTATGAGTTTGAAATGCGTTATCTTCAAGTGTGATTGGTACGACCCCGTCGTAAACAGAGGTGTTCGGATTAACAAGAACGGTGTAGTTGATGTCAACGATGGACGAAGGTACACCAAATTTTTTTTTTTTAATATCCAGGTTTCCAGTGTTAATTAATTTTTTAATATTGATCTTTATTTTCGTAGGTACAACAAGTTCGAGCCTTTCAAATTATTAGCTTCCCAAGCAGATCAAGTTTGCTTCATTCCATACCCTCGAGAATAAACTGGTTAGCTGTTATCAAAGTTACACCTCGAGGACGAATAATCGCTGGAGAAGAACCACCATTACAAGAAGAAAACACCAATGAGATCGAGGAAGCTGAGGCAGAAATTTATGAGATCCTACTCATTGATCTGCATAATCGTGAATACAAAGCTGTTCCTGATCACTCCACGGACGAAGGTGTTGACGACGAGTTTTTAGAAAATGATGATGTCTCAACCGATTACGACAATGTATCCAAATGAATTATGTATGTTTATAAGTTTGTTCAATCACAAAAATGAATTTGCATTATACATGTTTTAAGTTTGTTTAATCACAAAATCAATTTGCATTTGGGGTTTATGTGTAGAAGAGGTTAGGAGTTTGGTTGTAGAAGAGGTTATAAGTTAAGTAAGTTGTGGTTTGGGGTTATGGGTTTCGAGTTTAGGGATTTATAAACTCTTTCCTCGTAAAGCCCTAGTAATAGAAAACACGGGCATAGCCGTTTCCTCGTAATGTTCCAGTAAGGTGTTACTAGGGCTTTACAAGGAAAAAAACGCGGGCATAGCTATTTCCTCGTAAAGGGTTTTCCTCGTAAAGCCCTAGTACAATCATTACGAGGACATTACGAGGAAATAAAAACACGGGCATAGATATTTACTCGAGCTTATACGAGGGCTTTACGAGGAAACAAAATTTCTTATATATACTCGAGCAATCCGGTTTCTCATTTGCTAGTAACCTTCTCTCTGAA